AAAAAAAAAAAAAAGATATAAAGAATAGACTTAAGTGTTCTTTGAACTTCTTTTGAAAATAATTTAATTAATGCTCTTTAAAAATGTTGATGTCATATGTTTGAAAATCACTGCTCTGGGTCCTGAAAAGTCACTGTGCTTACACTGTAATAAAACCTCAAGAATCCTGGCCATGTCCTGCCCAGTGGGTATGGGGCACACCCCTCTACACGTGGCCTGGCCTCCTGCACTCCCACTGTGTTGTGGCCACTAGGGGCACTTGCATTTCAGCTCTGTCTTGCCTCCACATGAGAGGGTGCTTGAAGCACCAAGTCTCTGCTGGTTCTGACTCTGGGTCTGGCTCCTTAAAACAAGGCAGAGGCTTAGTGTCTGGGTCACTCCCTTTGGGATGGCCCAGAATGTTTCACACATCCGCTCCCTTTGGCAGGGTTGCCTTTGTCTTAAAGCTCAGAGGGTATGAGTCCTAGTTTCATTTAGATATAAAGTGTTTATTGATTGACACAAGGAAATGGCTTATGATCATTTGGGAACAAATTGAGCACTTGTTTTGAGCAGACAGAACGGTGTCCAGTGCTCCTCTCTTGCTCTGGGTGGGTTGCAAGTGGGATAGTTGTGTTTGTGTCCTGCATATAAACATACAGTGTGATGAACATTTTAGGGAGTGCAATTCTACACATAGGGTGCTGTTTGTTTTGTTCATTTTAATGTGTTACGAGCATCTTTTGGTGTTTGTATGTATATAAATCTAATTTACTCCTTTTCATAGCTTAAAAATGGATAGTTCTGTGGTTGCTGCATGATATACAACAGCTTCAAGTTGACATCAAACACTTTTTATACATATGTTTTTATACTTCTGTTAACATCTCCCCTGGACAGGTCCCAGGAAGTTGATGCTGGTTGGTGACTAGGTATGCTCCCCATCTTAGGGTGATGGAGCACTCCTTAGTGATCAGGAGCACTCCCTGACTAGGTGTGCTCCCCGTCTTAGGGTTAGTGATTAGGAGCACTCCCTGACTAGGTGTGCTCCCCATCTTAGGGGTTAGTGAT